TTATGACATTGTACTCCCCACGCCCTTGTTATTTTCCGAATCCTTATGAGGAAGTGAAGTCCTCTGTCCTTCTTGTAGCAGGAAGTCTCTTGTAGCAGGAATTCAAGAAGTTCCCATCTCGAGAGGGATACTAAGAGAATTTGACTTAACAGTAGAGAAGAGACGCGAGAGTGTGAGGTATTACCCAGACTCAGGTGAAACAGGTTCTTTGCACACAGGGAGGGAGCCTCACAGTGTGTGTCCTGTTGCATCCTCTTTATAGGGATTGAAGTAGTTACAACATGGGCAACCTGGACTGTTCAAAATGGCTGTGCAGAAGGGGGGCTTTCAGCTTTGTTTGGTGTTCTCTACAAAGGAGTTGAGTGTAAGTATAAGGAAAGGAGGCCAGAGATGTTTCTGATCTTGGGGAGAGAATACCAAAGCAGTTCCTGAAGTGAGGTAGGAGGAAAGATGTGGATGGGGAGCTCCTCAATTAAGAGAGAGAGAGAGAGAGAGAGAGAGAGAGAGAGAGAGAGAGAGAGAGAGAGAGAGAGAGAATGAATTAGTTAAACAATGAGGTCTTAATGAAAAGAAGAAAAAAATGTAGATGCTCTAACAAACTTGCATACTGCCTTGGTTTGAAACCCAGCTACAGCCCACTTAGACAGCAGAGCCTAGCATTCTCCATCTCTGCTGTCCATGCATGGGGACTGATGATGAAGGTGACTTGAAGGTTCCTTGAAAGATTCTGGGGGAAACATTTGCCAGGCCATCCTGGTTACAAGTCCATTGTGCGGCATGTTCTACATGTTTACTTTTTAAATGCTCAGAGAATTCGCAGGTGGCTGTGTGACTGCGATGTTTGTTTTAACAGGCTGAGAAGTGGGCGGTCATTTAGACATGTGCTCTGATGCAATAGGAAATTACCTAATTATTCCATCTGGGGCTCAGCTTTTGGTCTCAGTTAACACTGCTGAAAGCAAAGCTCACCGATTCCTGCAGAGTAGCTTTCTTCGCATTGCCTGTCTGAGACGCATGCTCACTAGAAAGGATGGCCACATCTTCATTATTTGTACGTGCAACCCATGAGGCGTCAGGCTCAAAACTTAGTGAAAGATTTCTTCTTTAAGCTCCTGTGTTCTCCAGTCATAGGATGCGTCTAGAAAGGCTATGAAAAGCCCAGATCTATTGAAGCATGCTCCCGAAACTGACTAGCAGTATTCTCTCCTTTCCTATAGAATGTGCTGGGAAGTCAAGTTGTGAAAACCAGAAAGCTGGTTGTTGTGCCTCACTGGTTCACAGCCATGCATCAGGATACAGGCCATGACTGCTGGTCCTCTGTCTTCAGAGAGCAGGTAGATGGAGCAGGGCATCTTGCTGGGAAGCTGTTTGCTTGATTTTCAGTCAAGGGGTGTACTGGCTGATGTGTTAGGGACAGACTAAATTGGAGTAACTAACATTTTTTCTCTGCAAAGGACCAGGTGGTAAATACCTTTTGGTTTGTGGGATTTACCCACTCTGTTGTGTCTACTCAGCTCTGCTTTTGGAGCATGAAAGCATTCACAAATGAATGGATGTGGCTATGTTTCAATAAAACTTTATTTACTTGATTGTATGTGTAAGAGAATATGAACATATGTACGGGTGTGTGTGTGTGTGTGTGTAGGCCATAGGCAGACTTCAGAAGTCATTTCTCAGGAGCCATTTATCTTATATTTTAAGACTCTTCTGTCTCATTAGCTTGGAGTTTGAGGATTAGGCTAGCCTATCTGGACAGAAAAACCTCAAGAATCCACTTATTTCCACCTCTCCAGAGCCAGGATTACAAGCATGTGCCTTCATGTCTGCCTTTTACGTGGGTTTTGGGGACTTGAACTCAGGTCCTCATGGTTCCATGGCAATCACTTTGCCAACTGAACTATCTCCCCAGTCCTCAACTAAACTTACTTATAAGAATAGGAGATAAGCCAGGTGGTGGTGGCGCACGCCTTTAATCCCAGCACTCGGGAGGCAGAGCCAGGCGGATCTCTGTGAGTTCGAGGCCAGCCTGGGCTACCAAGTGAGTTCCAGGAAAGGCGCAAAGCTACACAGAGAAACCCTGTCTCGAAAAACCAAAAAAAAAAAAAAAAGAAGAAGAATAGGAGATAGTCTGGATGGAACCATAGCTTAACAACCTTTGTTCTGCATTCCAGAAAATGTACCATAAGCTGTAGAACTGACTGCAGAGGAAGAATATGGAGGATATCCAGATAGCTCTGTTGATGTGTTTATTATTTTTTTATAGCCAAGACTCTACTATATGTGTGTATAATTAGTTTGTTGTCAGAAATAGAGTGCTATTTCCTTTGGGAGGGTGCAATTATTAGCATTATTTAATTACTTTTACCTCCTGTCTCCTCCAAATCATTTGAAGTAGCTTATGACAAAGGTATATGTAGGACTGGGTGTGACTTGATGATGGAACGTATGTTTAACTTGCATGAAGCCCTGGTACCCCCCAAAATGAAAGAAAAAGAAAATTAAAAGGCATATGTACATTTGGGCTATCCAATCCTGCCATTTCTTACCCACCTTACAACTCAAGCTGGTAACAGGGCCATTTCTGAGGCTGTTCAGCCTTGGGGCACTTCCTATGTTGATTATTGGTGTGTCTCCCATCTTATCTTCACAAGCATAATTTCCTTTTGGGGAAAAAAAGCCCCAATGTGTTCCATCAAGTCTCCCACTGAAGGAAGTGGTAGTATCCGTCACTTTTCTTTTGACTGAAGTATAGCCAAGAACCATTCCACCAACTAAGTGGGTGTAAAGGAAGGAAATAGAAAATCATAAGCTAATGAAAACTCTGGTGGACAAGTGACTGTTCAAAATACACTCCAAGGCTCATAGGACTAACGTTTCATTAACAAAGAGAACTATTTCCTGTTTCCTTAAAGACACATCTCTGCTCTGCAGGCAAAGAGAAAGGGGGGATTATATCAGTTCAGCAAGGTGGTTGGAAGTGCTGTCTAAGAGGCGCAGAAGAGTCGGGACTTCAGCAGGAAAAGATGGCCCTCAGTGGGCATCAGAATATGACAACAAGGCCAGCTGATTGGAAACACTGCCCATAGAATTGTTCCTTTCAACATAGTTTTCCTACAGGCCCATTCCTCCCTGTTTCACGGCTATAAGTGTATATAAATGACTTTCATATGAGACCTTAATTATGATTAGATCCAAGTCAGATTCCTGGCAACTAGGAGGTATGTGGTGGACATAATCAAGAAGGCTTGTAGGTAGCAAATGCTTCCCTGGACCTCATGGATACTTGACAAGGATTCATTCCAATAGAAGCAGCCCAGTTACATCTTAGTAGGATATCATAGACATTATGGGTCACTTGCATGACAGAAGTATAAGATGTAATAGAGGTTGATTCCATGCTAGACAAGAGATAAATATTAAGAATTCTGCAATAAGAAGAGAAAATATTGTGTATCTATTCTGAAAAAAAAAAACCACTTAATTAGTTCTGTATGTTTAGAATAGGTCTAACCTAAATGGAGGAGAAAACATCTCAAGAGTGCCCTTCTCAAGCTGTGATCCTCATTCACTCCTGGTACAATGGCAAATTGGAAGGAACAGTATGGGGCAAGGGGGCAAGTTGACCACATCAAGGTCATAAGTATGCATACAATTTGATCCTGAAACTAGACATGCACAGTTTATTTTTTAAAATATTACAAACTTTCAGGCTTATAGAAATGTTTGTGTAGAGATTGCCATTGTATCAAAACTTGATGTATAGCCTGTATAGTAGGATATACCTCTAGTCCTAGCACTCAGGAGGCTAGAGCAGTAGGATAGCAAGTTCTAGGGGTTAGCCTTGAGTATGTGGTGATGCCCTGTCTCAAAAAAATAAGCAAACAGCAAAAATGATTTGCAGGAAACATTTGGATTTCTAAAGCTTTGGGGTTTCAGAGCTCCTAACAAGTGAATGAGAATCTGTATACACAAGCATGGAAGTTTGGCAAGGATGAAGTATGAAATGGAAAGCAAATGTCACAACACCTTTGATAGTAATAACTATGTGTGTTGTATGTACACATGCTTGTACACAAAATTGATAAGCATGCAGTGGCAAACAAGCAAGCTTCTTTTCAAGTTGGGTGTGATGGAGAACCCCATATTTATCCTTGTCACAGAGCCTGGGGAGCCTACTTGAGAAGTCTTGAGTAAAGCCTGCTTTTAGCTTGAGAAGAACACCTTGTTATAAGTAGAGGGCCTGTCTTTTCATAGCTGCCTGTGAGGCTTATGATAGTTCCGTGCTTCTCAGCCTCAAGTATGTCACTGATTCATTGAGCCATTATTTGTTGAATATGTACTATGTACAGGATCCATCATGCTGGGTACCGAGTCGGTAGAACATTTTTGTGATGAAGGTCCTCCAACAGCTGCAGGCTCCAGTAGGCAGACTCAGATGTGCCAGGCAGCCTGGTGCAGCAACGGTGTCAGTCAGGTAGACTAGTGCTTGAGGATCAGATGCTAGCATGAAAACAGAGTTGAAAGGACCCCAAATGTGTGCTGAGGTTTCTTCCTCCTCGCTCTAGTTTCTAGGTGTGTACTTGGAAATAGTTTGTGATAATAATTAGCTTTAATTACAAAACCTTCTAGGACAGCAGGTCTCAACCTGTGGGTCTTGACCCCTTTGACAAAACTCTTCTACCTCCAAAATTATTTATATTACTGTTCATAACAGTAGCAAAATTAGAGTTATGGAGTAGCAACAAAAGTAATTTTATGGTCGGAGGGTCACCACAACATGAGGAATTGTATTAAAGGGTCATAGCCTTAGGAAGGTTGAGACCACTGTTCTAGGAAGAGGTAGTCTGCCTGTTACATGACAGCTGACCTATATAACTCTCAGTTGATTGGTGTTTACTTGCACCAAGCAAAAGTCTATCTATAGATAGATAGAAACACACACACACATACCTATATTTTGCTACTTGTCAACTCAAATATTTGTGGTTTTTCTTCCACAGAAAAAGCAAAGGACAAAAGATCTCTCTCAGGTGTTTCATTCCTACAATCCATATGATCACAAGGTAAGAGAAGCATGTGATTAATGTGTTTGGAATTAGAGCATTTGATGGCAATTCCTGCTCTAAGCCTGAAACATGTAGGGGGAGTGCCTGGCTGTGATGAGTCCCAGACCTAGATCTTTCTAAATGGATAGCCCAGTTTTCACTAGTATGTGATAATTTTGAAATGCATGACCAGTTACATTTATATTTCTATTTTAAAATGTCTTGTAAGTTAAACAAAATTTCTATTTCTGAACTGAATTGCTTACATTTTTTTTATTAGAATGTAGTTACAGGGGGCTAGAGATGTTACTTTGTGGAAGAGTCCTTACCCAGCATGCAGGAAGCCCTGGGCTCACTCCCCAGCACTGCCCCGAACCAGGTGTAGTGATACGCTCTCAGTGAAGTGTCAGTTCGAGCAGAGACAGTTTGGGTATTCTCTTGAGATGGCGGTGGTGATTCCTATTATAGTTAATGTTCTTTTTTGAAATACTATAGTGAACGAACCAGGCTTTGCATTGGGTAGAGACAGTTGAAACCTTTACTGTCAAATCTTGATTCTCCATTGTTCTGATACTTACTGTGAATCTAATAATGTGTACAAGCAGCAGCACATGTCCCTTTCCAAGACTAGCAAGGCAGAAGACAGAGGTGTAAGGGCTCTTGGACTCCCTCCTACTGCTCAGGAAAGACCCACAGCCATTCCTGTTCAGTTTGTGCTCAAACTTTCCACCCCCTGCATTTGAAGAACTTAAGGTGTATTTTTACCTATAATCATTTCATGACATATTTGTAAATGATAAGGTCTCCTTTAAAAAGTACAAAAATCGGGGGTTGGAGAGATGCCTTGGTGGTTGAGAGCATTGGTTGCTCTTCTAGAGGACTCTGGTTCAATGTCCAGTGCCCACATAGTGGCTCACGACTATCTGTATCTCCAGGTCATCCAGAGTCCTCATCTGGCCTCCGCAGGCACTGCACACATGTGCACAAACATACATGCAGTCAGAATACTCATGCACATGAAATAAAAAAATTTTTTTAAGTTCAAAATTTTTATGTTTGGGGTCAATATTAGAACTCCTAGTGCTCTTCATCTTCATGGAGAGACACATCACAGGTTTTCTGAGGCTTATATGAAGAATCTATGCCATGAAATATTCCAATAAATCTGTTAATTTGAGGTAATTTCCAAAGGAAACAAACAACAAAAAAAAAAAAATCACAGAGTTGAAATGCTACTCTAAATTTGAGTCTTTACCTATGAACTCACAGCCAAAATAACTAAGGTAAAAAAGTCCATTTCTTGGTTGAGAGAGATGTCTGGACTCCAGAGACAAAATGAATGTGCCAGCACTTGATAGAACTTCAAAGAATTTAGAGTTGCTAGTGTGTAACAAGGGACTAATTGACTTTAGCACCAGAAAATTTTAACGAAAGTGTTTATGCTTTGCGGAGATGTGTGATACTAAAAACTATCATTTCAGAGTAATGTTTTCCAACCTCACTCTGTTACTTTGCAGAAAGGAGGGATTGGTTGAAAAGAGACTGGGAGCCAATAACATCTGGAAGTGCAGTGGGAAGGTGACATAATAGTCATGTGACAGCACTGGCCAGGGACTGGCCAGACTGCTGTGGGGAGTGTTGTCCCCCTCCATGAGGCCATTTAATTAGCATAAGTGTATTCATGATAAAGTTAACATTTAAGAACAACAAATTTTCAAAAGCTTTGACAAATCAAAGGTTTTGCTTGAGTTGTCTGAATTTTTCCTACTTCTGTCATTTTTAAAATTCATAGATGAGGGAAATTCCTTTATTCTTTTATTAGCGCTCTTAATGGAGCCTAGCCATCTGTAGCTCCTACCGGCTTCCTCTTCATATCCTTTGTGGCATTGTATCAAAGTCACCTTAGATGATTTTGGCTTCATCTTGTGAGGACTTCATTCCCCTACAAATTAGTCATTGGCAGTGAAGAATTGAATAGAAATGCTAGATGGAATTCCTTTTGATCTTTGCTCTCAGATTAGTAGTAAATTATTATGAGGAACTAGCCTGCTAGATGAGTGATTTTTGAGCCTGTAAAAGTTGGTCTGTTGGCATTCTCTTTGACTCTGTATGTTTGTAGGGGGGTGGGGTTGTAGGCAGCTCCGGGCCTTTAGGCAGCTCCTCCCACTTTCTAGCTCCCTGTAGGCAAATCTTAACCACACTACTTTTACTTCAGAGTCCGTTGCAATGTCCACAAAGACGAGCGCCATAGGAAGACATGATCATGTACTAGCTTTTCAGTCTGAGAGTGGGTTTCTCCCCCACCATAAATAGATAATAGAGAGTTGTGTTTCAGACTACTTTATCATTTTAATTATCCAATTCCAGTCAGGCAAATCAGTTTTCTAGGTAGATAGCTTTGAGTATAAAACGTTTTACAAGATATGATTAAAGTTGATTCAAATATCTCATGCTCAATGAGATTTTGGGAGTTAGCGTTAGAAAAATATAAATGTGTATTGTAAGTGAAACCTTACACAAAATAAAATATTGCTTGTCTGGAAACTGCTTTTAAAAAATTCCAAGGAGAGGATATGGTGCATGAAGTAAGCTGGACCATGTGTTGACAATTATGGAACCTAAGTGACGGCTTTGTGGGGGTTCGTTCATCTGTGTGTTTTTCTCTATGATTGAAACTTTCCATAATACTAGAGATAGGAGAGTAAAATAAACGCAGGCCAGGTCTTGAGAGTGAATGTACTCATATTCTTCTCTCTCTGGCTACACTTTTAATGTTAATTTTTCCCTTGATGTTCTGATGTGCCGAAGAAGAAAAACCTCAGCATTTCCGTGAGTTCATTATGCTGAGTGAGCTCAGGAATGGAACTGCTGTGCCTCAGCTGGCGTCATTTCCTGGGATTTCATCCCAAATTACAGTGGGTCAGTGAAATGATAGCCTTGCCTACTGTAAGTGCTAAAGCCGTTGTCATTACAAAGAGTAGTTAGTGTTCCAGCCTTGTCTCAGTGAGTCTGGTGTGTTTGCCCTTCTAGCGCCTGCCCCCTCCCCCCCCCACCACCACCATAGCCGGCTGCTCCTGCCTAACCCAGACATAGGAAAGTCACCAGGTTAAACAAACATCTGCTTCAGTGAGGCCGGCCTCATTTCTTAATCACACCCTAAAGCTTTTGTGTAGGTGGTAAATGGTCACTCAGTTTCCTCTTAAATGCTGTTGTAAAACGCAAACAAAGCTGAACAGCAAAGTACCTAAATAGATGTTGGGAAACATTTCTTAACTTGAAAATGTGGCTGGGGACCTGGAGAATTTTATTTTGGACCATTGTCTCTCCATTAAAAAAAAAATGTTGTCAAGAATTGTTATAATAATAACTTTTTTAAAAGATCATTTAAGAAGATTTGACCAATACATATTCTCTTTTATCGGTTCGAAGTGAAGGGAACATCAGCAAAGGCAGCCCAAACTAGCAAGGAATCTTGATTATATTTTATCCATTTCTGCCCTCTTCAAAACAATTAAATTTTAATAACTAAAGCATATAGTTTCTGAAAACAGCATACTAACTGCCAGGAGGGGTTTCCTACCTGCAGGCCTTCCAGGGTACACAGTGTCAATCCAGAATGGAGTTTTCCTTTCTGTAAGGTACAGGTAAGTTAGGGCAGGCTTTAATTAGAATGTTCCTACTAAATGCCTGTCAGGTACCATGTGCAGTGTGTCTTTATCCTGAAGAAAATATTGTGCACATAAAAGATGCATCTCTCTTTTTCTTTCTCTTTGCCTTTCTTTTTCTTGTTAGGTTTTATCGGAATTTCTGTGTTCAAGGGAAATCTAGGTTTATTAGTTAAACACAGATGTTTATAATCTGCTAATGTAAAAAAGTCAGTATAAAATATGAAATGGCTTTGAAGGAAAAAGTTAGAAAACTTGATGCAGGTCTGTAGCAGCTTTTAACATCTGCAAATTTGAATAAATTCTAAAGCAGTTACTCTGAGTGGATTTATCCATCCCCCATTAAAGGCATCTCGAGTGTGTTGTTGCTCTAGCATTCTCTGGGGTTTGTGAGGCACATCTCATCTTTTCTTTAGCTGATAGCTGTGTTAAGAATTTTTCTATATGTATGTTATATAGAGAGACATAAGCTAATGGCCATGCTTCAGGAAAAACATCATTGTACATTGTCTGCATTTGTTGAAGTGAGCTTTTTCTTTGTCTTTTGGTAATGGCTATTATTTTAAAATATATTTCAACTAATTGCAAACAAATTCACATATCTCAGAACATAGCTGTGTATGAACGCACTTCACCTCTAAATAGAAGGAAGATGAACATCAGTGCTTGTTTCAGCCCAGCATCTTGCTTATGCAGCGATCTGCCTAACTCAAAATATAGCTTAGAATTGGCAGGAGAACCAACCTGACCCAGGCTGCTCAGAGGTCTGTTTAAATCCCACCACCACCACCACTGCATTTTACCTTCACTCCTCATCCACTAACAGTCCGTTCTGTTGTTTAAATCCACCTAACCAATATATATGTCTGCTTGCCCAAACTACAAAGTCAACCCCAACAGCAATTTTGAAAAGCCTAGTTACTGCTTCAGTAATCCAGAGCTCTAGGAAAAAGTGGCAGCCTACCAAATAAAAGCAAGAGTGGGCTATAAAGACTAGTACCCTTTAATAGGACCTCTGAAAGTGCGCTGCCCAGGACCACTTAATTTAGACCCCAAAACCCAGATACCTAATGCATTTTAACAATCCCAGGGTTAATCATTAGGATTAGTTTATATCATGAAATACATATTTTGTTTGAAAACAATGGAGATGTATATATTCTATTTTTGGAAACATTTGTGTTTTAGGGGGGAAAGTGTACTTGTCTTAAAAACTTTTAGGAACAGTTCATTCTTAGAAAAAGTTTGGATAGGTGAGGTATTACCATAAAGAATGTTGGGACACGTGTGAGCAGTTAGATGAGAAACAGCAAATGTGAGCATCAGAGCAGCGTGTTGACCAGTATGGCCCCA